GACCTAGGGCCGATAAAGGGTCTGATATGAAAAATGCCATGTAATAATCTATACTTATTACACCATGTTTTGATATTGTCAAGATCTTTCTGTATTCTCCTTTGAATATAACAAATATTTTTACCACATAACCATATTGCAATATCGTCTGCAAATTGGGAAATAGAGCAATTATTAATACATGTGAGGAGATTGTTTACCATAATATTGAATAATGTCGGGCTGATACAACTTCCTTGAGGGGTACCATTTTGAATCGTGAGAGTATCAGAAAGAGTGTTATCTATTTTGATCTGTATGGTTCTGTTAGTAAGAAAGCAATTAACCCAACCTAGCATGTTACCCTTTATCCCAATTTCAACCATTTTGTTTAGAAGTCCAAATTTCCATATCATATCAAATGCTTTCTGGAAGTCAATAAATATTCCAACTAGAATATTCTTTTTTTTTTAAATGATTTTTGTATATCGTTATCAAGTCTAATTATTTGTTCCATCGTAATTCTATTTTGACGGAATCCAATCTGATAAGGTGAATACATATGATTTTTCCCAAGGTACCATCTCAGTCTGTTATTAATAATCTTTTCCATAATTTTTACAAAATTTGATGTTAAAGCTATTGGTCTATATGCATGTAGGTCACTTGAATCTTTCCCTTTTTTAAAACTTGGAATTATTATAGAATGTTTCCAAGCCAGAGGGAGATTTTGTGAGAACCAAATTTTGTTATATAATAAAAGAAGTACACCAAGTGATTTATCACTAAAGCTTTTAAGCATTCTATATGTAACCTTATCTTTACCAGGAGATGTATCTGGTGTATCAGCAAAAGCATCCTGTAATTCATTAAGAGTAAATGGTTCATTATAACCTTGTGAGTTTTCAGAAAAATATTCTTTCAAGTTTTCAGCTTCTATAGACTCAAAATGTTATTTATGTGAAATAAATGCTTCTGAATAGTTACTTGAACTGCTTACATTGGCAAATGCTTCAGCCAATATATTAGCCTTTTCTTTAGTAGATTCATATATTTTATTTTTGTAAATCAAAGTTGACATAATTAGAGAATTATTGTTTCACCCATCATTCTCTTAATTGTATTCCATACCTGCCCTATATTATTATTAATATTCAAGCCACTGCTGAAGTTTTCCCAGTATTGTTGCAGTGTTAATTTAATAGTATTTCTACATTCTTTTTCCTTTTCTTTTTATAATAAATAATTATGTCCACCCCCCCTCCCCCCCCCCCCCCCCCCCGTATGTCTGGCCTTGTTACGAGCTTTATTACGTTCTTTTACCACCCTTGTGCAGTTTTCATTCCACCAGGGTACCCCTGGTTTATTATTTTCCCTCCTTTTCTTAGAAGGGATGTGCTCACCAGCAATTTTAATGATAGTGTTAGTGAGAAAAGAAATGAGACTGGCAATATCTGAGATGATAGCTGTAAGTTTGTATTGGTTCAAATGGGTGTACTGTATCTAACAGCGGTTCCAAAACACTGATTGTACAGAGAATACAGTTTTGAGAGGGGTAGTATATAAAGCTTCGTGTGAATGTTATGAGAGAAGGCTATGTATTTTTGCCATAATCTGGACTGCATGTACGTCGAGCAGTGCAGTTAAAAATTTTCATAACATCCACCGAGTTGATGTAGTCAAAACTATTAATCAACTGCTTAAAAAATGATGACGACCCCATTTATTCATTACCTAGGCTGTATTTGCCGAGACCTTTTGGATTATTGAGTGCTCAATGCTCCTCTATTTCGTGCTTTATTTTGGGTTGTTTACGTTTTAGATTCGAGCATGACTGGTGAGTCTTCTGAAGACCAAACGCGTCTGGCGTACAAAATGTTAAGCAGGGTATCTATAGTGAGTTTATTGGTACAATTCACTCAAAAGTTGATTAAAATGTTGACATAGATATTAATTTTTTTAATTTTGAAATAGATTAGTTGTGTATGATATGAATACTGTGGTTGCAAAATCTGTTTAGAAAAATATCAGCGAAACTCATCGTTTTGTTACAAAATTGTATCTTGCAATTTGCTCTTGTTTTGTTTTTTGTTTCAAACATTATTTGATTAATCAAACTAAGATATCTAAGTGATTCTATGTTATAGCTAAAATATTGATAAAGACTTATAATCGGTGTTTATATTTTTATGTCCGACGGTACCAAAGTAACTGACAATTTTTTGCCTAGACACAAGAATAATACATACATTTTGTATTTAGAACGTTATCACGTATTTGTTTGTTTTTGCTCACCAGTAACATGCATTAATCCACTTACGTTCTTATATTTGGAATTTAGTTGTCTTTATGTATAATCGAGCTTGCTTATATAGTTTATGCCTATTGCTCATATCTGTTCATATCATAATGAATACAATATGTTTGATTTAAATTGAGCCTTGTCAAAGCACTCAGACTAGATCCTTTAAATTTGATCCGACTCTGACTAATTTCGTTTTTTCATAGAATAGTCTTCTCAATCGATTTTTGAGATTTAAGCATTGGTTAACTTGTGCTGCCTTAATTATATGTTGTTTAATTGGAAAAGAGGGACGAAAGATACCAGAGGGACAGTGGAAAAGTCAGAGACAACCAAAGAAATCATCTAATTTTTGCTCAGAGCATGTATAACGCTTTATAAATAAAGCAACAGTAGTATACCGGTGTTCGAAATTCATAAATCGATTGAGAAAAAACAAATCCGGGTTACCAACTAAAACTGAGGGAAACACATCAAATATAAGAGGAGAACAAAGACACAACAGAAACAATAAAATGCAACACACAGAAACAAACTATAAGATAACAATAGCCATTTTCCTGACTTGGTACCGGACATTTTAAGAAAAAATGGTGGGTTGAACCTGGTTTTGTGGCTAGCCAAACCTTCCGCTTGAATGGCGATGTTAAATATAACACTAAAATGACAAAATTACATGACAGGACTACAATACAAAAAAATGACAAAATTACATGACAGGACTACAATACAAATAAATGGAAGAACATACAAGACAGAGAAACACACAAATAAACAATACAATAGAACATTACGACAAGCTAATAGTTATCAAAGGTGACTGGCCTAAAGATGAAGAGCATTGATGACCCAAAATTCCAAAAAGTTGTGCCAAATACGGCTAGGTTATCTGCCTGGGATAAGAAAATATTTAGTATTTGGAATAATTCATATTTTTGCAAACAGTAAATTTATAAAATATAAAAATGACCATATAATTGATATAAATGTTAACACGGAAGTGGTGACTAACTACAGAATAAAAACGAATACGTAAAACAACCTAGATCAGAACATAAAAACAGCACAGCCGAACAACGCATTATATGTCAGCCGAATAGAGCGACGCACAAAAGTGACGTCACAGGTAAATTTCTAAAAATTTCCAAAAAAATGGAAAGAGTTCAAGGTTAGGTTTGTAATACTGATATTACATGTATTTAATAACAATGAAAATTACAATACTTATTAATATAAAATTGTGTTAGTAATTAGATAATTAATTGTATTATCTAGCTATGTCGGTATTTCTTCTAAATCAAACTGAAAACCAAATACATAGTGTAAGTTTAGTTAACCCAAACTAATATATAAAACTTTATTCAAATCAATTTGTGATTTCACCGATTTTTCACGGGGTCGTCACGATGAAGATGGGTGTAAAACTTTATAAGATCACAATGTGTATGAGTTATGACGTCTGTACTTTGTAAACTTATATCTGCGTCAATTAGTTATATTGATTTAGTGAATTTGTAATCATTATTTGCAAATGTAAGTAGTTCTAAAGTTAATATTAAGCTTAAACGGGAACCTTAATGTCAAAACCGATACGCACGTTTTCTCTATAATTTTACAGAGTAAATAAAAAGTCTAAGTGATGTTGAGAATTAAAAATAACACTTTTCTAATGTTAGTTTATCATACATTAAGTACAATCGACCGGATGAAAAAAAAATCAAAAATAGATTTCCTTATATGAATGGAAACATCTGGGCTTTGTTGCTTACCATCCAGGTTACATGGATGTAAATCCGGGTTTTTTCATACTTTGCGTTTAATTTAACAACTGGCATCATGATTTGAATGAAATTGGATCGTTCTTGGTTTCTGGTGTCAAAAATACGAATTGTTAAGCTCGATTTTAGATAATTTTGCAACTGACATTGTTTAAAATTGAGAATGGAAATGGGGAATGTGTCAAAGAGACAACAACCCGACCATAGAGCAGACAATAGCCGGAGGCCACCAATGGGTCTTCAATGCAGCGAGAAACTCCCGCACTAGGAGGCGTCCTTCAGCTGGCCCCTAAACAAATATGTATACTTTGTTTGGATATATACTAGTTCATCAAATTGATGTTTCAAGTTTTACCGGAAAGATAACAATTAACGTTAAATTTAGAACAGTTCCTGATATTTTATTAACAATTTATTAGTGTTTTCATTCATGTACAGAATCAACGCAGCCATAATTTCGCAGTTCACAAGAATCATCAAGTACAATGATTTTTTCGTCAAAATGAAATTTACTAGGGCATTTGCGAGAACATCATATATCCGTCTATACAAAATATTAAACCGAGATGATATAGTAGTCATTACTTTTGAAAATAGCTCCAACTATCATTAATTGTATCTTTTTTAGAAGTTTTAATGTGATAAGAAACATATGAAAGTCATAAATGTAAATCTCTTTAAAACCTTAATTGTTTAATATTGGTTACTGTTCTGCGTAACTACGTGTCACACATGCATCCATATTAATGTAATATGGTTATTTATACAATGCATAATGATTTTTTACAAATGTGATATTAAATGTCACACTGATAGATTCTGACTGATTACAGATTAACATGGCCAATTATATTTAAGAAATACTAATAATTTCTAAATAAACTGCAAGAGTAAATTTATATGTATTTGATGTCCAATTAGGAAAAAAAGATATAACTCACCTTTCCCAACTATCCATTCACCGTCTTTTTTTCTAATTTGACATTTTCTATTAATTTCAATTCCATCAGTGCTTTTACCATCATGGCTTCCGTATCCAAGTAATCTGGATACAAGACTCGTTTTTCCAACACGATCCTTGCCAATAACCTGTATTCTAACATATTCTCTAACCTCTGATCCAAATTCTATCGCTTTCATATAACTATTTCTTTCGTCTTTATTTGCTTTTTCTAACAAATAAAAAATGCTATCAAATAACAAAATAACTTTTGCAGTACTTTGCTTAATACTTAGTTTGACATATAGGTATTAATTTATTATAAATAAATCTCATTTACAATCAAAATTTCGAACGTGTAATTTTAATCCGGATACGGGGCTTCATTTAAATCATATTTCTATTACTTGTGTTTGTACACTTACTATTAAAAAAACCATGGACTTGAGTAAGCTATGTTGAAACAAACTGTACATCTAAGTTGGTAGAATCAAACCTTATCTAAATCAACATTAGGTCGTTGACTGTTATGATCCAAAGACTGAGTTGGGCTCAAAACTTAGAGTATTTCGATAATTTTAATTTTCTTTTAAATAGGTCAGACATTATTGGACATTATAGCACAAATCTTTTGATAAGCAATATGCTCTTAATTTTTTTTCTGTACAAAAGCGGACAGCAGATATGAGACTAAAATCGAAATGCCACTACCTTAAATGTAAATTGTAATATGATGACGCTTCCCAGCAGAAAAAAAAAATCCAGCATACGATTTTGTGCTGTGTACATTCACTGGTAATTTCATACTTAGTATATTGTCAACATTGAAAGTGAAACAAGCGTGAATCGATTTGTTGACTGGTTTGATCAAAACAAAAATATTTGTTTTCGCACGTAAAACGGTGATTTATCTAATTATGATTATTTTTAACCTATGAAATATATTAAACAGGTCTAAAAAAACCAAACTGCGCGTGCTTGCTACCTGTTCATATTTTTATTTATGTTTATGTCATGTTATAATTTGGATATACGTGTTAGTGTTTTTATAGATATAAAATGAGAATTTCGGTGAACATAAATTTGACAGATAATGCCCCTTTAAACGTATGGACAAACTACCGGACCAAGATATTTTTACACTTCCGGAGAAACCGAGATCAAACTAAAAATTTGTTTAGGTTTGCGTTTCTTAGTCTATAGCTTTATATGTAACGTTTTAGACGTGTTTGATTTTGTCGTCTTTGGTGATTGTAATGAATTTGTCCGTTTCTTAAAAAAGATATCGTTAAGTTAACAGCATGTGTTGTTAGCAAGTAAATGTAATTCAGACTTAATTTTACTAATTGACAATTTGACCATTATCTGTTATTAATTACAATACAGACACAAGTTTTCAAGTGAAGGGGCGCAATTGTTGCTTATATAAGTACCTTACAGTTTCCGTTTTCCATTACTGTATACCTTACAACAAAATTATTTTCATTTACATGTGTACATTATTTTATTTGTCGGCATGTTTTCCAAGGTTGTGGTTGACTTTTTGATATCGTTTAACTTCTCACCTCTTATTTTATTGATTTTTTTATTTACATTGTGTCATAGATCAAGTTTATTCGTTCAGTGAATGTTCACTTATTTGTGCTAATATGTCTTTTGATTAAGTTACGCCATTTCAATTGATATTTTATAGTGTGTCTTTCTATGCTGTGATGTTACACTATTGTTTCAGGTAAGGGTGAAGATTTGTGCCTATTAAAACGTTTAAACCCGCTGCATTTGTTTGCACCTTTTCTAAGTCAGGAACCTGATGTTTAGTGGTTGTCGTTTGTTGGTGTAGTTCATTAGTGTTTCTCGTGTTTTTATATAGATTAGACCGTTGGTTTGCATGTTTGAATGGTTTTACACTAGTCATTTTTGGGCCCTTTAAAGATTGCTGTTTGTTGTGAGCCAAGGCTTCGTGTTGAAGACCGTACTTTGACCTATGATGGTTTACTTTTACAAATTGCGACTAGGATGGATAGTTGTCTCATTTGCACTCATATCATATCTTCTAATATCTACTTTAACCTGGCAATAAAATGTATTGCTGAAATGTAATAGATTTTTTTAAGGAAAAACATCTAGAGCTTGAATCATCTTATTACTGTTGCAGGGGGTATATCTAGCACATTTACTTTTTTCATTACAGTTAAAGGCTTTGTGTTAGTTGCAGAAATAAAATTGCAATCATATTTTTCTACCACCCATTTAAGAATAAGAAAACATTGTTATTGATAAAATTGCAAAAAAGCGTAGACTAGAGAATTGATGAAAAGTCAAAATCATCGACCGATTGAAAAGGATTATCACAAGCTCGTAATTTATGTAAACCATTAAAACTATTTTTTTCAAACTCCAGCTATAACCAATTCCAAAATATTCATATGTCTTGAATTCGTTTCGAATGTTTATATAAATACTAATGTGCTGTGTGGATTAAAAAATTGCATTTTACATTAATAATATAGAAAATCTATTTCGCTATGTCATTGCTTTAGTTTGTTGAATGGAAAAACTTGTATTATTTAGTAAATACGATCTCAGGATTAATGAATAGAAATCAGTTTTTTCGTGCAATACTGTACTTATTTAAATGATTGACTATCTTTTACACCTAAATAAGTATACTAAGACTTTGATACCTGACATTTGCAACCATATACATTGAAATCTTAACTACCTGTAATTTTTAACTGTACTAATCTGGAAAACTGTCCAACTTGAACACAATATTCGCCACTGTCTTTAGTTTGTGTGTTTTTGAGTTTAAGGTGGTCTATTGAATTTTCAGTGTATATTTCACAATTTTCATTTTTCGATATTTCATCGCAGCCTTTCAGCCATTTCAAAGGTGGACTCCCAGGACGTACTTTACAGGTAAATATGGCATCTTCACCTTCTATGCAATCAACATCGATAGGTTCTTCAAGAAAGCAATCTGTAAAGATAAATGTTTATCTCTATAATTAGTTGACAACTATATCAATACGTCATCAATATCAGATGTTTAAATCGTACGCGATAATGTGCGATTTCTGAAATTAATCTATAAAGTCTCCCATAAATAATGTTCAAATGCATTGGTAATTTACAAAGCTAATTAGATATTATTGTAATTGGTATGAAATTCATCAATGATGTTAAAACTAGCTTTGGTGTAAAAGGAAATAAAAGTAACTAGATTGGTTGAAGTGAAACAATGAAAATTAAAAAAAAAAGACCAGAAAACACGAAAATTAATTGTTTTAACAGCATGTGCTCTTTGGTCTCTTGTGTAATAGACACGGATGATATGCAACAAGGTCCAACATAGTAGATGGTCTGGATCTTTGGAACTTCATTGTCCTTTGTAGCCCGTTTATTTTTGTTTTATTCGTTGTTGTCGTAGCAATATCATTGTCATTAGTTTTATAGCCGTCTCGTATCTTCTGTCATTCTTTTACAAATCTTTACATGTCTAAGAGACGAATGCCTAGGCCTTTGATCATATGACAATATTCATTATTCATTTCGTAAAAATTATTCACAAAAATAAAACCGGTTTACGTTTCAATGTCAATTTATTTTTAAACACCAAAATAACTTAGTATCTCTTTTTTTTAGCAATACACTAACCACAGGATGATTAAATAATTATTCAAAACATATCCTTTAATAAGGGTGAGAAAAAACCCAAGGTGCAAACGTGAAAGATTGCAAACATGAATTGGAGCGAACGTGATTTTGGCAAAAAGCCCGGATTCTCATCCAATATTTCATTATATCTATATATATAAATATATATATAAGTACGTATGAACCAGTGACAACTCTACGACAGATTTGCTTCCGCAAATTTACAGTTCTAACATTGTTAGGCTGTTATTTAGACGAATTATATGTATAATTTTACCCGTTCAAATCGAATAGTTCTATTCATTTGGGATACTAATGCACAGCCTATGTTGTTATTACTTAAATTTACCTCTATCAATTTTAAATTTTAGAATTATACCAGGCCAAATCGTACATTGCTATTCATTGAAGCTTATGTCTTCGCAGTCTTTGTTGTAATAACTTAAATTTCGTCCCTTTTGAAATTTTAAAATTATACAAGCTGATATCGCAAATGTCTATTCTTTGGAGATAATAACTATTAAGTCTATATTTTAATGCATAAACTACTTCAGCTTTGAAATTTGAGATATATACAAGATATGATTCATGTTACGACGTCATTATCATACTGATGATAGATGTTTGTTATCCGAAATACTTATAGATGCTGGTATGAACTGTTTCCTTTTTAATATTGGTGTTGTTTTGTGACCTTTTGTTGCGTATATAGGTAACAGACAAAAATCGAGGGAAAAACATGAAGAAGAAAACAACAAATCAATAGAAACATTAAACTACAACAAAATAAATGCCAACATACAAAGAAACAGAAGTTCATAACAACTTCCACATACATGACGTGGTACATGGTTAAACCTGGCTAGCCAAAACTCCCGTTTATATGACATTGTTAGGAATACCGCTAAATTGACAACACTACGTGATAGGAATACAGTACAAACAAATGCAAAAAACACTCTGTTTATAGAAATACATTGATAAATAAAATAATAGTATATTACAACATGTCGACCGCAAAATAACAACGGACACCTCCAAGGAATTTACGACAGCATACCAAGACAAAGTCACGCATTTTTTGTGACGTTCATATTATTACAGGTAAATTTCAAAAAATGAAATAGATTTGTTTCATTTTAGGACACGAACAAGAACATCAAATTGGGAATGAGATTGTAATGGTGTTATTTCAACAAAGTCGGGGACTTATTTCTATATAATACATCATTTAAAAGAAAAGGTATGTATCAAGATAATATTAATTTAAAAAAAAACATGAGGCATTGATTTTTCGAGATTTGATGAATTTATGGCACTTATTAGAATGTTTTTCGGTGATTTAATGTCCTTTCTATGCAAATCAACCTTTATTTTGAAAGAATGTACTTAGTTCAGTGTATGTTGACTTGTTTTTATTAATATTTCTCTTTGATCGTGTTCAGCCATTTCAATTGATATTTTATATTTTATCTTTCTACTTTGTAATGTTATACTACTGTTTCAGGTTAATGTGAAGCTTGGCGCCTATCAAAAAGTTTAAACCCGCTGCATTTGTTTGCAAAAAGTAAAATAACAAAAATAATACTGAACTCCGAGGAAAATTAAAAAAGGAAATAATCAAATGTCAAAATCAGAAGCTCAAACACATCAAACGAATGGATAACAACTGTCATATTCCTGACTTGGTACAGGCATTTTCTTATGTAGAAAATGGTGGATTATACCTGGTTTTAAAGCTAGCTAAACCTCTCTCTTTTATGACAGTCGCATCAAGTTCCATTATATTAACAACGATGTGTGAACAAAACACACAGACATTACAGGTAAAAATTTCAAATAATAGGGGTACAGCAGTCAACATCGTGTTATAATCTTAATCACTATAAAATCAAACAAATATGTAACAAAGAATACCAAGCATATTAGCGAAAATTAAAAACAAGTATACACAAATTTACCATAGTACAACTGTCTTACGTCAGGAAACTGTTGTTCAGGGGTTGCTGATGATGTTTCATCAGTATTTCTCGTTTCTCGTTTTCTATATAGATTAGACTGTTGTTTTCCTGTTTGAATTGATCTAAACTAGTCATTTGAGGCCGTTTATAGCTTTCTGTTCGATGTTAGACAAGGCTCCGTATTGAATGCCGTACTTTTAACTATAACGGTTTACTTTTTACAAATTGTGACTGTTTTAAAATGTCATGTACCTAGTCAGGAATATTGCAGTTGTAACTAATAGTTCGTTTCTATGTATGTTGCATTGTCGTTTATTTTTTGTTGCACGTCAGTGTTCTGTTATTTCGTTGTTTCCCTCTTATAGTTGATGCGTTTCCCTCGAATTTAGTTTGTAACCCGGATTTGTTTTCTCTCAATCGATTTATGACTTTTGAACAGCGGTAAACGACTGTTGCCTTTATTTGACACCTTTTTATTAGTGTAAACTGTATGTTGATTATTGTGTCATCTATAAATACGCAACAAAAGGTTACAAAACAACACCAATATTAAAAAGAAAACAGTTCATACCAGTATCTATAATTATTATTTGATAAAGAGTTGTCTCATTGGCACTCATAAACATCTTCTTATATCTATTCATCCAAATTGCAGACTAAAACGGAAATAAATGCAGTACTTTTTCGATGTTCAAGGAAATCGTGATATGAACTGCAAGATTTGGAAAATCATATCAAATGGGATATTTATACTCAAAGTTCGAGAAAAAAACAGTCAAACATTTATAACATATATTATGCATTTAACAATGAAAAAAACAAGAAATGTTGTATGATTGCTAATGAGACAACTATCCATCACAGCTCTAATGAAGTGGAGGTAAGCAATCATAGGCAACCATGAATCAACGACAACCTCCTGACTTGGATGGAACATGCACATATAGAGTGTGACGTGGTAAAGCAGGTTTGTGAGCGCTCAACCCTCCCCTTACATGGGACAGTTGTGTAAGAGTAAAACATAAGAACAAACTATACATATCAGTTGAAAATGGCTTAACTCATCAGATGGATACAAATAAAAATACATCTAACACAAAAACAAAGTAGACGTGGACGGGTATGTATGAATACCGAAAAAAGACATCAAGTACAGATCTGAGAGTACTCGCATTTACTAACAACTAGTTCAAAGCCAAAAACAACTGATGAAAAAAATCATGCATCTAAGACTAAAATATCAATCAGTACACATCCAACATCCAAAGGATTTAATGTTAGGACGTCATTAAGGTATGAAACCACTAATTCATAGCCCCATTGCTTTTTATGTTCAATTCTGCAATTTCAAGCATTAATGGCTAGTTTGTTTTAAGCTAAAAAAAAAGTGGCAGTCATTGCATGTTAAAACTATATATTATCCTGACTTGTGCTGAAAAATTCAACATACCTTTAATTGCATATTAGAGAGTACTGGTTTCCGGAAGTTAGATACTACAAAAACAGGTACTTCCGATCTGATCAATAGGGCAAATGTGCCTTCTTATTATTATTGTTTATTCTTTTTTATTTTTCAAAAGAATCTTTCAACGAGGTATCTACAGTGATCCCAAGTCCCCAAGCTTTCATTTGATACCAAAACTAACCAATTATTTCACCTTTTGACAAAGATACAGCTATGCGTAGGAACTGTCTTTTTTAAAAATGTATAATTTTTTGTATGTTCTTTCCGACCTGGCCCGAATTAGTGGTTCTATAACTTAACAGGCAGTTTGGTTAAACTGTAAATCAATTACAATGTATATTCTGCTTTTATTGTTTGGTTGTCATTTATCCTTTATGACAAGGACGTCAGAACCAAACGCATTCACATTAAAGTATTGGAGAGAAGAGGATTAAAAGTACAGGATCAGTACAGTGGAGGTACTTCGACTACTGTAATAGCTAGTACAACGGTATTAGCCAGTATTGAATAATGTCACAGCTGTTTTTTTTTATATGACCTTTGTCGTAATAATTAGCTCTAAAGGTTGTGTTTTGGACATCAAACAAAGTCCTGACTCCCAATTTACTGTTTGAAGGAATCCCTAAATCTAAAAATGATTTTTTCAATACTAGTATCCTAATCTGGTTTCGTTATACATTAAGAACCATAGGAACACTTTTTTCAGACCTACTTGTAATGACAATATTCTATAAATCATGTATTTTCTCTTCCATGTGGTTTCACTACTGGACGAAAAAACAACTGTCCATACCAGTAACAGTCGTTCTAAGACTGATAATGTTTGTTAAAGTTGTAACAGTTGTTAAATTTCACTGTTGCAGTTATTTTGTAACTGTCCCAACTTTAAAATTGTTT